ATTGGAAATTTGAATTGAGATTATGACCATATCTTGAGGGAAAGATTTTTTTGGGGGAAAAATGGGGGAGGTGAAATAAAATGGGGGGGGGGGGGGTAAAAAGAAATTGTGAGGGGGTGGGGACAACTTTTTCTCATTTCAGATTTCAGAAATTAAAAAGAAAATTTCTTCAAATATTATTTTTTTTGGGGAGGGGGTCAATTCGCAACAGCATAGTGTATTGCACAAAAGCAAAAATAAATTGAATATAAATTCAAATCATATAACCAATTCTAAGTTCTTTGACTACAGTTAGTCTGTGTCAGAAACCTATTATGTGTCAAATATTTAATTAAAATCCGAATTCAGACCTGCCTGAAAAGCGCGAATATTGTGTCCATTTTTGCCCCAACTGTTCAGGGTTGGACCTCTGCGGTCGTATCCAGCTGCGCTCGACGAAGCAATTTATTTTCATTATGCTTTGAATTGCTTCATAATCAATTATTTAAAAGTAATCGTTTGCCGACAACTTGTTTTAATCAATATCATGCAAGTGGAAAAAACATTATGAATCGCTGTTTGTTATAGGGAAATGTGTTTGTCTTTTCATTTACATCAACTCAATTTCAAATTGCAGATATATATATCACCACATTATTACCCTGTTGGTGCTGGTTTTGTTCTGTTTTATTGGAGACGTCAAATAATCTCCTTCGTACATTTGTTTGGTTTAACTCATTTTGTCCACTAGGTGACAAAACATTCCTGCTAGACGGTTCACTATTTTGATTACCCTCTTCTTCATCTTCGTCATTCATACTTTGACTCTGTTCCTACAGAAACAAATTTAAGGATGAAGATGATTGAGCTCTAAAGCTTCACACACTGTGTAGTAGTTTGACCATCGTTCTTAATCGTAATTGATCTCCATCCTCATAATCATTTCATCTATTTTGTTTTTTTGATTATTGTAACAGATCCGTGTTTTACTCGCTGGGCTTATGATAATTAGATACTATATTTCTGTTATTATTTTCCTATTTTACAAACTACATGTATTTACATTAAAGCTAAAAGCTACAAACCAACAACTTCCAGTTTTAGCTACACGTGCTAGGGACGTAGCGGCCGTTAGGCACTTTAGGCTCATGCCTACACATAATTTTTTTCACAAACATTTTTTTTTAAATAATGGCCAGACAACGTTATCTGTGGATGCACGTGAAGTTGTCAAAACTCTTTAATTATCAAATGGCATTTATACGCTAGTCTATCATCCTTAGTGAATGGAGACTCCGAGTAGTAGATAGAATTTTATGTACATTATATTCCATCTGATATAGAAACTAAAAACTAGAACTTTGGTTCAGATCATTTCACTTCTATCAACAAATACTTGAATGAACCACAACATGCTCAAAACACTGACATTTAGTTCGTAGATACATGAATTTTTTATTAGTTCTTGGCTTTCAATTAGCTTTCCACTTAGTCTTCATCAGACCTACAATAAAACCCTTGCCAAAGTGGGGCTGTAAGGGATGAATAAATACGCAGTCACGTCTGGTCAGAAGGGGACGTTAAATCCGATGCCTAGTGTAGAGAGAATGCAACGCTATCTGCACATTAAAACACTTACAACAACTCTTTCAGGGGTTCGTAGGTGGTCTGCTGCAAGGCAAAATTTCTGTCCCTATCCAATAAAACCTCATTTTCCAAAGGCATTTCCAAATTTCCTGACCTTCATCCTGGACGACCCCTTTTACTGAACCTACCTGTTGTATTTGTTGTAAATTTGTTTTTGTCCTGAACATGCATGAACTATTTGCCACTGGACGTTTAGCAATCAATCAATAAATCAACTAGCTTTCTGTAATTTTGAGTAGTCTCAGATCTACGTGTTATGACAATAATTATTCAAATTCATAGGCAGGTATAGGGATTTTACAGTACAGGAGATCAGAAAATATGAATTTCTTTAGATAATATGAACAGAACCGAACTTCTGCATTAGGCATCGACTGTGTGTGCGTATGTGTTTGTGTGGCCGGGGAGGGTGAAGGTTTAAGAATCAAAAGATGAATGGTCGATGCCTAGCCAAAAGGATAGTATTATTATATAAATGTAGTAGTCTCAGTGTTTACGTGCCTATTTCTTTAATGAAGGATCGTCAATATGTACATATCAATTATCCTCAATCAGAAAGAAATAGATATGAAAATACTAAAGAGGATGTACTGCTTAATAAAAGGGCTACGTTGATCTACGCTGGGCAATGCATATTGTAAATATTCTTTTTTAGATTTCCGATTGTACTGCGTTAATTCATTAGTCTGATGTTATTGTAAAATTATTTGTAATTCTTCGAACTTTTCTTCATGTATATTAACATGCATGATAAAATGCATTTTGGACCAGTAAATTTTATGTTTTTTGTATACAAAATTTTGCAACTGAAAATGCTGAAACCCGTTTTTAGTCGGGGGGCTACCCCCCCCTTTTTGAACCCTGCCCCTACCAGGGCTCTGCCCTGGACCTGCTGGGGGCACTCAGCGGCCCCAAGGCCCCATGCAGCAATTTGTGCCTACAGTTTCTTCGATACCTAGCTACATCCCTGCGTGCTGTACGTTCTTATGTATAAAGTAATGTTATATTCAATAGCTATGTATGCGTGTCAAAATCGTAAAATACCTGATAATGACCAGCCAGTACACACTGTTCTGATTTCATTTACACGTATAAAAAAAGGTAAATATAACCTTATTTATCTACTGAGAAAGTAACAAGCTAAACATTACACCTATCAGCTAAAATGATTTTCAGTTTTATTTTTTACTGAAAGCTTCATACAGCCTCTGCAAACTGTTATCTAACCAGACGATTGTTTAATTTTGATCATACCTCAATTAAACTTTTAGCCTCATTAATTTCTTTATCAAAATCTTTACATATGACATCAATTGCCTTTCTTGTAGCAGTGGGTCCAAGACACCATCCCATTCTGTTAAACTGAGTTAAAACCTATAATTGTTGAAATACGCAAGGTATCAATTTTAACAATCGTTATGTACAATTCCTATGTCCGCAACGAATACAGTTTAAAAAAAAAATATTTGAATTTTCGTCTTTATTACAATGGATAATTGTTTTTTTTTTCAAAGTTTCTACTAGTATATATATATAGATTTCTTAAATAGCTCTTTAACATGTAAAACTTTACTCTAACTTCAGCAATAGCTTCTTTTCTTTCACTTACAGTTGATTTACATCCTCCTGTCCATAACTGTATAGAGTTCAAAGTCTGGAAAGTTTTACACTGCGCGTTTCTCTTGAACATGAGTACACTGTACAGAGTACCAATTTCATTTATGAGTTTAGGGTTTGGGGGTAAGTTTTCAGTTCTGAAACACGAGTGATACATATGAAAACATGTGCATATATATATAGTTATTTGAAAACATTACTTTACATTATTTTATTATAATTAGCGCTAGCGCTGTTGTCGTAGAAATGTGAGGGTAATGTCACAAGTTCCTGCTCCGGTTGGAGAGGAAGTAACAAATATGTCTACTCTAGCAATGTTTCGTTGATTTGGGGGGGGGGGGGGGGGGGGGGGGGTATGAAAATGAATCTTGCCTGGCAATAGCTGATAAAAACTGCCTTTCAAAATTAAATAGTATCCCCAAACTAAAGGACAATGCAAGAATTGGTGAAGGAATGAAAATCTATGATTTGGAGGCATTTTTTGTATGTACTACGGAAGATATCAATTGAAACTTACATGTTTGGGAGATGAACTCTGCTTTAACTTCTTTATCGACCTTGGAGTGTTGATTGGAGTGGTGCGCCGTCTTTTGTTTGATATGTAACCATCACTAGACTCCTTTTCACAAAAACTAGTTCTTGCCGTAATAAAGGAATAAAAGTTCCCAAGAGAATTAAAGCAATCTGTACAGATAAATAGTTCATTGCTGCGAGACAAAGATGTATGTAGACAAGTGTTGATAGCCTGGAGAACGGTTACTTCCCTGCCTTTGTAAAGTTTTGCTGTAAGCTAATGTCTCATATATCCACGCTTATCTTTTCTTTCTTTAAATGGGGAATTACAATATATGCACGCCATCTCTATGACAAAACATTAAGTCAAACGGCCAAAAATACGAATGACAGGTTCTAGAACTGAAGGAAGTGACGTCAAACAAAAGGGACGACGTTTCCCGTAATTTTTCCCCTAAAAATACGGGAATATATAATCCTTTTAGGTTAGTATATCGTATTGAATGACGTACTTGTGCGTATCGTTTTTTTATATTTGAAATGGAAGACGAGATTAATATAGTAAAGAAAAAGTACGGGTTTAGCTTTGATCTAAAAGATGAACAGAAGAAGATAATAAGATCAATTTTGGATAACAAGGACACATTAGGACTTTTGCCAACAGGGTTCGGAAAATCAATTGGATATACTTTTCCACCATTGGTATTAGATGAGGTAAATAAAAAGTATAAAGTTATATGATACTACGACGGTGTTGTACTGCAATTCGCATGCTAAATTAAAAGTAATTCATAAAAAAATGGAATTTGATACTTTGTTTACCTTTACATTGGCACTTAAGTTTCAATTCTCCAATCAAAGTAAACTTATTGTTTGATTGACCTTGTTTGCTTAAGTTTTATATTTTGAAATGGTTATAAATATTCTCGCGTTGCCTTCATAACTTCTGTCGTTAAGAATTCTATTGATGATATTCCAAGAAACCAGGATGGGACACTATTTTATTTTGTCCAATATCATAACATTGTATCTTGCTATCAAACAACTATTGTACATACAAAAGGTATACAAATAAACGTTTTCATAGTTATTGCATAGTTGAAGGTATGAAGTATACTGTTATCCAGCTTTCTTGAGGGAACGGTAATGTAACAATACCTTAAGTAACAACTCATTTTGGGGTTCTCTCTGCGGTTCGCGTTTATCAATGTCGATGGGTAAAAACTTCAGTTAAAAAAATGTAAGACATTAGGCGTCAGTTCTAAAATATATTTTATATGAACTCGAATGAAATCAATACATTCACTAGCTTGGAATGAATATATTTTAGAAAGACAGTGGAAAACGGCATATAGAGTTGATAGTTTCATCATTAAGAAGTCTAATGCAAGACCAGATTGATACTTTAAAGTCAAGAGGTTTAAGAGCTGAAGCAATAACCAAGAAGAAGGAAATGAGTGAAAATGTTATTTATGGTAAAAAGTGGTGCGATTAAATGTTATCAATTGTGAAGTTGAGTAAAATGAGATACATGTATACGTCGATTAAACAGCAAACACACGACATAAATAACAAAATAGACTGTGTTTTCTTTGGGTGACAGGTAGAGCATATTTTTATCCAATATTTTGTGTAGTATTCATATAACAACCTAGAAATAATATGGAATAAGTTATAGCCACAGGTAACATAGACTATGACGATAAGTATAACGGTTGTTTTAGCAAACGAAACAATTCAAATGAACTCCAAGCAATATTTTCTGATTAAAGCTTGTTTATCACATTTTACGGTCTCTTTTAGTAATACTTTCGCTTATGTTTTATGAATTGCATATGTTGTTAGACACTTTTCTATGGATGTTCTTGCAAAGCCGTTATTTTTTTTCATTTATAACTCATGTCCGTGTAATTAATCATCATTGACTCAATAATTTCTGGATTTGAAGTTTCTTTTAAAGATACATACAGAGATTTGAGAAAGAAGTCTTATGATACACAATTTTTACAGATATTAAAAAGGGAAATGTACAGTTTGTCTTTTGTTCACCCGAGGCATTGGTGCAATCTGAATGGTTTAATGTAATAAGAGATGTGTGGAAGAACAGTTTATGTATGATTTGTTTTGATGAGGCGCATTGTGTGTCGGAATGGTACGCATATCTATGTATTTTATACATTAATTAAAATACAAACTTCATGGCAACCAAGATAATATTGAAATTGAATCTCGAGAACTCTAATTCGACGAAGTTTAACATATTATTGTTATATGTAAATTTGATATATCAAGCATTTCGGAATAGTATTTCAATAATCTGCCATAGTTAAGGTATCTGTTTTGAATCAAATGTCTCTATTTTCTACATAATACATCATACGTTTTATTTTGTTAAAATAAAATTCTGAGTAATAACAATGGGAATATCGCCCAAGTTTGGTGTTTTATTCGTAAAGTCCTGTTGCAAATGACAAATGGCAAATGTCGTTTATTAAAATTGATTGTGTTACAATTGCGGTACTTAAATTGCAGGGGAGAATCTTTCAGACCAGAATATAGACAAGTTGCAATGATAAGAAGCATTGCAGATGTCCCGGTCTTGGCACTTACGGCAACAGTAACAACAAAGGTCAAATCAGATATAGAAAAGTATCTTTATATCAAGGAAGATTGCAATGTTATAGCAGCTATTCCAGACAGGTATATACGTAGTATTCAAACAAAGAAATTGCATATTTAAAAACAGGAAGTTAAGAATACTTGTAAAACGTCGAATATAAAAATAGTCAGCTGTTTATAAGACTATTAAATGGACGATTTTAAAAGAAAGTGAATTATTCAATATGATTCAGTTTATTTATACGATTAAATCAGGAGATAGATAATAATAGTTTAGTAACAATAACATAACGATAACAATTTTGTTACAGCAGATGCGAAGTTCGGCAATTAATGTCTCTTAAGTGAGGTTCAAGTTCAAAATATTTGAAAACCATAGCACTTATACAGACGTTTAAGAGCAAATCAAATAAAAAATGACCTAAAGTATAACCAAATCAGGAATCAGAGCTTTGCACGAGATATTATTACTTAATTTTGAATAATTTCCAAAATAGTGTCGATTTTTAAACGAAATCTGTTTTTCCTATTTTTAGTGTTTCATATTGAAGAAGAAAATCGTTCAGAAACACAAATAACGAATTATAATTATTAACATGAAATAAATAAAACATAAAATTAGAGCGAAACATTATGAAAGGATTATCTGTAATGTTCATAAAAAGGGCGACTTAATTGTAATGAATTATTTCAGACCAAATATTCACCTACAAGTGGAGAAATCTTCATGTCATTTTGAAATAGAGTTAAAGTGGTTATTGGGTTCATTGGAGAGAGATATGTCTGTGTCACCAAAAACACTAATTTTCTGCAGGTAAATGTCTTAAATTCCTTTTTTGAGTTTCTTGGAGCCGCAATGAGGTTGGGTTAAAAGTGAAGATTTTACAAGAAGATTATATCTTAACCATATTCTAACGTTTATATATGTCTCTGTTACCTTTTAGTCAATGACATATGTCTGTTTATAAAGGGGATCCATAATATATCCACATATACAGTTAACTCGCTTGGTTAATTTCTTCAGCATTCCCTATTAATTAGAAATTTTTAATTGATGTTTATATTAGTGTTTCATGTTCTGTCCGACTCGGCTTCTGTCAAAATCCATTATTTATTTAGGTAGACGATACACATTTTATTACTAGATTTATGATGTCTGTGGTCGAGACGGCTATGTTTTCTTAACCGTCTCATGAACTTGGTGCACGTGTTAATTTTCAATCTTTGTCAGGCTTATTCAGTCAGTTGCATTAATTAGTTAGTAGCAGTAGCAGTGCAAAAAATTCCAATCGGTTATTTCATAACTATTCTTATAATGCCAACATAACTATACGAATTACGACAGTATACTTATTGTGTTTATATTATACACCCGCAACATTTTCAACAAGAGGTATGAAGATTTAGAATTATACTCGATATTTGACACTTTAGATTGTGTCGAAACGGATCCGGATGGGAATAAATGCTTTATTCTGCAATTTGTGAGATTGCTTTTACTTGGAAACGAGTAGGCTGATTACTAGTGATGTGTTCTATTAGACGCTACGCAATTATTTGTTCATATAGAAATGGATGCTAAATTTCGAATGGTAACAATTATGTATATAAATATATCTAGTATACAACACTAAACGTACGTCAGAATTTTTCACTAGTTTGTTATTTACGCTTGCGTTTCTGTCAACGCCGATATTTTTCTGCTAATGACTCGGAGTGGATATTGGCTTACAGATAAGATTGCACTGGTATACCAACTTTTTTAGACGTGTCTTGAGAATCTGGTACAAATTTATCTTCTAGACAGGTCAGTTTATTGTAATTTATTTCATTTTCTAGATTTTTCATTGATTCTGAAAGCTATCGTTAAAATAGATATTTTCAAATGATTAATAATCGATAGACATGTCATCTCAATTCGTTTTTTGGTCATACAACAAATTATGCGTGCAGTTTGAAACTGACGAGCAGCAATTTAGCATGCTCATTTGAATTATCTACACATTCACACGATAAAAGATTTACAGAAGAGAATGTATTGCGCCTAATTGAGTTCACGATGTTGTATATATATTTTCGACATTCATAGAACGACGCGTGTAGTCAAGAGACAGAAACAATTACTTTCTATTTATTTATATATACATATATATATATATATCTTTTATTTTTAAAGAATTGTTGTGTTACACAAGGTTCGCAAGTGCATAGGTTCATCTTGAATGTGAAATTTTCTATTTAATATTTGTTTTATCATTGACATGTTTATGGTGATCACCTGATTTAGCACGTGCACATAGACTTCAGATTTTGTATACCATGTACATATGGAACTATGATTACAGAGATGTTACACCAGGTTGTATTTAGTAAATTTTACACTATACTCTTATAGATCATGATACATTATTATTGTTAACACTCAACAAGACTATACGCTCTGCATAGAGGCTCTTACTTGACACTATGCTACGGATTCACAAGAATCATGAGAATGAGAGTAAAATCATCGGACTACAACACATTTATTATATGGTACTAGAAGATGCTCGCGAAATCGCGGTACAATTGGGCAAGTGTTGAAACAAAGAGCGTGGACACAGTAATAAGGTGGACACAGTAAGGATTTGGACACGGTTAATGCATTTAATTCAAATTTTTTTTTAAACGATGAAAATGAGGAACATAACGCAAAAGACCCCATTCATCTCGGTGGGAAAATAAGATATAAAATACCCAAGAAAGGTGTGGCAAAATGTGATTTTCAGTAGTTTTTTTTTTTTTTACCCCTTTTTACTCAATAACCGTATGAGCTACGTCAAATCCGTTGACATTACCGAAAGGGATCAAAAATGAGTAACACAATGGAAAACAATCCCATCGAAATCGGATAAAAAATAAATCTATAGTACTTCATCAGGAATCAACCCCTGACTGACTGAGCATGCGCGAAAGCGTATAAGACACGGATCGATAATGGTCTCCGAATTTGGATATTTTCTAAAAAATTGGCGTTTTCTGTGGAAAAAGATTGTTTCAAAGACAAATTTAGGAAGTACAAAACACTGCATTTATACGTCATTTCACAATATTTCCGACTTTGTACGGTTTCAGAGGAGTTGCGGCTTAATGCAATCGGTCTCTTCCTTTAGTAGTATAGATTTGTCAATACATATATAAGCCACGGGGTTCTTCCTATGCATTGGTTTAAAAATGCAATTTCACATTTACAATTTTACAAATGTATGTTCGTACATGTATATATACACTTTACCAAATTTACATGGTTAAGCAGATACATGTCCATTCGCTGTAACTATTCATACTCGACTCTCCCGCATGTCATCTATTTATATTCACTTCATGAAAGTTTTCGACACTTTCTAACACCCATCAAATATCATTTACCTCTTGTCCACAAAACTGCTTGTACATTAAACTAACAGTCATTCAGACTGTCTGTTATAGTTCATCAAACAATTAACCTTCAAGTATTCAACAACGACGACCTTATCAATTTACCTACGTAAATCTGATTACAGATTAGGAAAATTAACGAAATTAAGGTTCCATGACACAATGAATGATAGACAAGTCTTGCAACTTAACGTTTTATCCTAATATATATACATTTGTCCCCGACAACGATTACATACTATGAGCAAGTAGAAAGGATATGGTATATATCAATTCATGACACAATATCACAATATGCTTTTATTGCCGTCCTTTATCTCAAAGTCACACTGACACTTCAAACATCTAACTCATCACAAGTTCAGATGTAACGATACATGTGTATGTAATAGTTGGATTGATTGAAACTATTATTTTACTACTTACTAGTAGTTTTTTTTTTGTAATTTGGTTGATTATTACATAGTAAGGTTTAGTATGTTAAATGATACCAGATATTGTGCACACAGTTACATTCGTTTTTTCTTTATTTCATATTTGGAATATGGAGGAGAAGCTCTTTGTCTGTTGTTCATTCAACCAATTGGATAAGTGATACTTATAGCGTATTTATGTGAAGAACTGACATCATGATCAACTGAAGTTATTGAAGAGGCCTAAATACATACGATCGCGTGAAAAACTGCAATTTAGAACTTTTGCTGACAATTATCTTCATCACTGTTTATATTTACATTTGACATATTGTTAGCTTACTATTTCACCGACGTAATTTTTTCAAATACATTGTATCAACTACAAGAATAGTATTTATTGTCCGACCGAAGTCCATTTAGACTGCATAGAGATATTTTGTCCAGTCACACAATTAGAGAAACGATTTTAGCGGACATTCCTTTCAATCAGGCGCGGCTAGCAGCATTATAATTTCATTGTTCAAGATTGATGGCATCGCTTGTCCGTATTAATTGCTATTTCAGATGTTTTGTTTCAGAAAGCGAAGTAACTGTAAATTTAAAAGCTACAAAGACAGATATTTTCCGACAAGGTATTATAATTTCATTGTTCAGGATTGATGACATCGCTTTTTCGTATCAATTGCTATTCCAGCTGCTGAATGTAAGACGAAACCTATAAACGCAAAGCACAATGATTCGTTTTTCGTTGAAGAAATCGGAAACCCAGTTTCCCGGAACTATTTTATAAGCAAGCTTAAAACAATACTCATGGCATTAGGATATTGTGAAAAGGATTATAGCGGACATTCCTTTCGATCAGGTGCGGCCACTAGCGCTAGTTCTAAATGTATTGAGGACAGCATGATACAATCACTGGGACTTTGGAAATCAGATTGTTTTAAACGCTACAGTAGAACATTTAAATCGGATATTAAATCCGCGATCGGTTATAACTGTGTAACATGTCCTACATCCTAGCCTTGTGTCTTTTCTTTTCACGTTGATCTCAATATTGTGGTTAAGGATTTTTATATTGACATTAATTTTCTCTAGATCAACTTTAATTTTAACAAGACACAAGGCTTCATCAGGCACAACATCTTCAAATTTTGGGGTTACTCAATATGCAACTTGGGCAGGCAACATAACGTTACATATTTCGTTTTGGGCTATGATATTTTATTTTGGCCAAATATAATATCGTTCCCCAAATTTTTCTGAGTAGTTAGGGTGCCTACGTACCTTAA